TCTCTTTATTACTGTTATAAAATTTTAAACGGCAGGGCGAAATGCTAGTTTTTGGAACCCGAATTGGCTTCTTCGCTTTTATTAATTCATTCTTATGTGGATCGTATCCAAGAACTCAGTAGTTATATACATAACGTACGTTCTTGATTATAATAATCTTTTGTAATCGATTAGTTCTCAATTCCTGCATTTGAATACTCCTATTTTTTAGTTAGAATCATCTTGCATTCATTTGAATTAAACGTACTAATAATTATTTTACTATAAAATATGAACGTAACTAATATTTATCCGGGGGTAGTTTAACGATAAAACAAGTAAAATTGCTAAAACCTATTCAAAACGGAAAAAATTTCGGTACAGTTTATGCAGGTTTTACTGTATTAATTCAGGATATAATTTCAAATTTGCTTAGGATGATACAACTGCAATAGCTTTTGTAATTTGACATATTACTACTGTACTTAATTATTATTACAAAATTATCGACATTAGAAAAATATAAATCTTATTTTCTTTTTCAGGAGGAACACATTGACTTGGCTGTATATAATTGGAATTATAATCGACCAGGTTGTAAAAAAAAATTGTTTTATTGAAATATAACATTTAAAATGTATTTATTATCTCATTACTTAAATGTACAAATTAAGACTTTGTATCAAGATTTATGAAGAAAAATAATAAGTAATATTAAATTAATAAATATGTAATATTAAGACAAGTTATAATTTTGCATAATAGAAACTGGAATCTTTGTTTCTACAATTAATTATATCACTAATAAAAAATATATATATATAATTTTTTTCAGTTCATTTAGATTATCATCATCACTGTAATTTAAACACAGAAAAATTTCATAAATGCAAGATCAATAAAAGAAATTGTTAAATTGTATATGAAATTATTAATGTTTGATTACATAACTGATTTGTAGTTATTTCTTTGTAATAAAAGTGTTATTTTTTACATACTAATGCTGTTGTTAACAATAATTCAAAGTTTGACTTATATATTTATCAAAGAATTTAAAGATTTAAAATAATTGTTTACACTTTTGCATTATTATTTACGTTTACAGAAGGACTAGAGGCAGATATTCTTTTCTTCTTATTCATATTTATTCAAATTAGGCAATGCTTATCCACTGTACTAAAAGATATCTCCTCATAATCCAATATCACTGACTTACTTAAAACAGTGACAGAATTTAGTATTTCAATTGTTTTTGGAAGTAAGTTAATTTTCTTTTGAAAATGTATTTAAAATTAAATACTGTAATAAAGTAATTAACTTTAGAATGTTTATGGTAATGTGGATTATAATAATATGACTATTTTTATTAATCTAGAGAACACCAGGAAAATGCTTGCTGAGCCGTTAAAAGGAGAAAATGAATGCTGATTTTAGAAGCCATAATTGAATATGAATGTTTAGAGTAAAAACAAGAAAATTATGAAAAAAGTTCTCCTCATATATCTGTCCAAACTAAGAAATAGTAAATAACTTAATACTGTAAGAGTCTGCTATTGTAAAAACTGTAAAAAAGTGAAAATATTTGATAATGTATCTTAAACTTAATTTAAATATAAAATTCAATTGAAGTGTATATGAAAATACTTATTCTTTCAGAAATCTTTTAGCATTTCAAATAAGATAGTTTGTATACTTTATTAAATTTATATATAATTTTTTATTCCATATATACTACTATAATTTTCCACCACAATATCACAAAAGTTATTTTTCTTCATTCTGTGATAAGTGCAATTTGATAATGTTAAAGACAGGAAAAAAAAGAGGAAAAATTTGGCTACTCTACACATATTATTATTGAAATTTGTTGAACCTTATATTCTGGTAGAATGCATGATTAGTAATTATTGTAATATGATACTTATACAATATGAAATATACTTACAGTAATTAAATGATTTTGTTATTTATTAGTGATAACAACAATAGAATAACTTATTTTAAGTATAAACTCTTTATATATATATAAAGCTAGATGCAACCATACCACAAAAGCATTGGGAAAAATAATGATAGAGATGTACTAGCTTCCTGTGTATTTGTATAAGGTAGCTTTAAATACACAGGAAGCTAGTACATCTCTATCACAATTTCTCCCAATGCTTGTGTTGTATGATTGCACCTTATTATTTATTAAAACTTGGAATATAAAATTTTAATATAAAAAATGAATTTTTCAAAAGTTTATTTAAATGAAAAGAGTAAAACATTTAAAACAGTAGCATCTTCAATGTTATCATATAAGTAGAATTAAAATATTACATGGAAAATTTTCAATAAGAAATAGCTCTCAAACTTACAATTCATAGTTTTTATATAATTATAGATATGGTAAGAATAAAATTCCTGATCACAATATTTTATGTTTATCAGAATACAGTACTGTAAAAAATGTATTAAACTTTAAATTATAAAAGTATATTAAATGAAGAATTAATTATAAAAAGAAAAGTGGTAGTTTAGGAAATAAATTTTTGATAAAATTTTTCTGATATTTGCATTTTTGCCTTCTTTTAATCTAAAGGTACAAGTAGCATTTAAAAAGAACCTTCTATTTCATTACTATTCACTTTTGACATCATTCTTTACTGAATGTATTCATTTTTTTTTTTTAAATGAAAGTAACAACCTTATGAAAGTCCTGTTAATGTTTTTTTTCCCCCCTCAAGAATTTACAGGAATTCAGTCTTAAAAAAATCTAAGATGTCATTGCCTAAAGACTAGTAAACACAAAAACAACTTTTAAAACTCATTTATAATTCCTTCTTTGAGATCATATAAACAAACAGAATGACTAGTACTAACATTTCATTATACTAGTAGTGTATTTACATTACCATCTCTCTTTTAGATAAAAATTTGATAATGATTGATACTATAAACAAAAATAATCTGGATAATTGCTTAAAAGATTGAAAAGACAATATAGAAATTGTTCAATAGAACTAGAAAAGAAACATACAATTTGTATATGCCAAGCAAATAAGTTTCAATACTTATCCACAATGCTGGGTGGCAATTTTAATCATATTTTAATTTAAAAATCATATGAGTCCAGAAGTTTTATTAACCATTAGTTCTAGAGCCTATGCTTTCCAAAACTGTTCTAGATTTTCATCTATTTAACACCATTCTTGAGATTAATGAAGGACAGAAGTATAAAAATATAATTTTTAAAGAATATATACTTATTAAATGAGTCGTTACAAACTGAAGTGATGACTAAATTACTAAATTTAAGAAAAAAAATGCAAATGAAAAAATTCTACATAAATTTTACTTATTCCTAATTTCAGTTAATTAAACTGATTAAGTAATATAATTTATTAATTAATAATACTGTATATTATAATGATAAGTTATATAATTATTTAATTATAAATAAACTAATTATTATTTTACTTATAAAAACATTGTTTAGTTGGATCATGTACTGTACAATGTCTTTGTGAACCTCCTGTGCAAATTATTGAAGGATTATTCTAGATTCTAGATAGTCAATAAATACTTCTGTTGTTGTATAATAATAACTATTATTTTTTCTTCTAATCAAACAGTTTTAAGTGATGAAAAAGCCTGCATAAAAACAAAACAGGTTGGTAATAAAATTATATTTAATAATAGAAAATTATACTGATACTTTTTTAACATATTGAAAAAGTTTTAACTTTATACCTAGCAATATTATTAAAAATTTTATGTCATATACATATTTTGATATCTGAGTGTAGCAATCTATTGATATATTTTAAGTAAATGTTTGAAAAATTAATGACATATAGTTAGTAATTTAATTTTCAATGTTTTCTTTTCTTTTACAGGGATCAAACATAATTTTTATCATAGTTTGTAAGAAATCTCATCACCAGAACAACTGCTAATGATTATCTTCTGAAATTGTTTTCAATAAACTATTTAAAATCTTGGAAAACCAAAATTCTATAAAATTTTCAGAACTTTATTCAGAAATTTCAATATTTCTTTCAAGATAATAATTTAATAAACATAGTTTACATGGTTGGATTTGAATGAAATGTTTACGAAATTAACAGCCTGTGCTACCTTAAAACTAACATAAAATGAGTGTGCGCGCAAAACATGGTGTTCCAAATTTTGCAATCTTAAAAACTTTGTCACAATTACAAATACTGTAATTTCATATATACCAATTTCCATTATGGCAACTTTAAAGTTAGACATACTGGTTTATTATAAAGTTCAACTTGGCAATGAATGGAGCATTTCTAATTACCTTTATATTGTTAATATGCAGAACTGTTTTGTAAAATTGTTTTCATTATTACAGGTAGATTTTATAAAAATCCTATTGAGTTGTGATCATTGTAGTATTAAATCTAGATTCATTAGTAGTATATGTAAATCATATTAAAAATTACATATGCAAGTTTTAATACTAATATTATAAAATCTATATTATCTTTCAGAAATGCAGCATGAAGATCACAATGGGATGTTTATATGTGAAATCTGTCAAAAGGGATTTACTCAAATTGATAACTTCTATGCTCATATCAGAATTCACAAGGGAGAGATACCTTTCCAATGTGGAATTTGTAAACGTGGTTTCACCCAAAAACACCATTTGATATCACACCTTCAAATCCATACAGGAGAAAGGCCATTTCAGTGTCATTTTTGTAATCATGGTTTCATGCATAAACATCATTTAGTAACTCATCTTCAAGTTCATAAAGGAGAAAAACCATTTGAATGCCATATTTGCAAATGTAGCTTTGTGTCCAGGTCAAAGTGGGTGTCACATCTAAGTCTTCACTCTGAAGAAAAACCCTATTGTTGTGATGTCTGTTTCCAACGTTTCACTAGCAAAAGCAGCTTAACAAATCATGTTAGAATTCATATGGGAGAAAAGCACTTTTGCTGTGCTGTTTGTCATAAGAGATTTTCTAAAAAAAGTTCATTGATACAACACTTACGCATTGTTCACGTAGATTACTTCAAAGACAAAGGAAGTAACTGATTTGGAATATAGTAATTGATCTAAATTTTTATTAAATACAACTTTCAAACATTTATAAAATTAATATTTTAATCAAAACTTCATCCTCATTAAAAAAAATAACATTCTATTTTTAAAATATAATCTACTTACAATTTTAAAGAAAAGAATTTGGTATTACTGTAGTGAATAATAACATACACCAAATTATCAAGTTTTTTAAGATGCTTCAGTTGATAACTGTACATATCATTATTCTTTACTGAAATAAAAAACATTTTTTTTTAATATGCATCAGTATGTATTAAATTATCAATGTAAACCATATTTCTTGATGTCCTTACAAATTGCTATTTTTAAATAAAATTTAATTTGCATTTTAAGGTTGTTGTTTGTTAAGTTACAGCAATGCAACACTTGGGTGATCTGCCTAGGAGGTATGCCTTCCAAGAGGTCTTTTTAAGGGTAATTGGCCCCTATTCAGGCATTACAGATGTGGAGAAAACCCACAAAACTCCATGTTGGCCAAATGGAATTTTCTGGGTTTTCTCCACATCTGTAATGCCTGAATGCACCTCGCCAGCCTGTCCTGGAGAGATGCAAACCCACGACCAAAATCCCAGTGTTCAGAGAATGGAACTGCTTGGTCACTGGTGGGCCACATTTTAAGCATTTATTAAATAATGCATTTATTAAATATAGTTGTATGTGTGTTTAACTAAACCAAAACATTCAGCTTATTGTTAAATGAGAAATATTGTGCATCAAACAATACAAACTACATGAAATACTAAGTTAGTTAAAGTTTTTAACACCAAACACTGAATTATTGATTCATCAAAATAGTATATATCATCCTACAAAAAATACATTTTTCTCAAAATAGTGCATCCAGTACTTTACCAAAAAACAAAGTTTTATTATGGGAGTATATACTTGGTTTCAGCTGAAATACTTGTTAGAATGGATATCATCATTTCCAATTTTTAGCCAGTACAGCAATTATGTAAATGATTGGTTAAAAATCAATATCTGCAAGCAGCATAAGTTACTGAATAATTGATTCTGAATTCTAATATTGTTCAGCTGAAATACAGCAAATTTATATGTGAAATGTATATTTAAATGTGAAATGTAGCTTTTAATGTACCCATTATAAAATGACTAAGCAGGCCTTAGATGAAAAATTCATTTATTGTGCTTAAAAATACAAAAATTCATTATTATATATGTGGGCATAACAAATGTTTATCTTTAGCAAATAAAAATCTATGTATCACTATCATTAACTTTACATCTCTCATGGCAAGGATGGTGAACCTAATGCATGCATTCCCAATGTATCATGTCAAAAAAACTTTTGCCTACTACATGACATATTATGCAGGATTGTAATTTTGGCTTTTTATTCTTGTTTTATATTCATTATGATGTAATTCTCAATTCTTTTTAATTTTTATTAATTAGAACAATTAAAGAAATAATGCGAATATTCATTAAAAATAACTGAACTCAATCTCAATTTTCTCATGCACAAATTTATTTTAAAGTTAAATCTACTTTGGCTCCTAAAGGTTCACCATTCATCCTAGAGCTTTGATTTTCAAACAACATACCTTCAGTGGTACACAATATAGCTACAATAAGGTACCATAAGTTTAAAATTGTCCCTTGTTGTACCATATATGATTAAAACTGAAAACTGCCCAATAGTTTTTTTAAAAACTGGATTAGACAAATACATTATCACAATAATTTAAGAAATAATTTACAAATTAACCATTTTAATACATTGGTAAAAAATAATAATGTAAAAAAATTCTACTTTTGATTAGTATTTATCATTTAAACTTTATTAGTTCTCAGTACAATTAATTTAACATCCTGTAAGTTAAGTAGTAGTTTTTAGAAGTGATAAGTATTAGGTTGTTTGGAAAGTTCATTTTTCAGTCGACAGTTGAGACACGGGATGAAGCGAAAATTATTAGAATTGTATGAATTAATAAATATTACAAAAATATTGTATGTTACAATACAGATTAAAAACCCATTATAAAAAATTTTTGTAATGGAGATTTAATGTCTTGTTGTGAAAATGGAAGCAAGCATATTGCATTTTTGACATTTCTTTCTTTTCTTTCATCAAAAAGGCAAAAATACTGTAGAAACAGCAAAAGAAATATATGATGTTTATGGTGAGAGTGCTGTAGCAGTCAACTGTTCAAAAATAGTTTGCTAAATTTAAGGCAGGAAGTTTCAATCTTGAAAATGCTCCATGCTCTGGAAGACTGGATGTTATTATGAGAACCAGATCAAAACAGTATTGGATGACAACTCTCATTACAGCACATATAGCAAACATAGTGAAGTCATCAAACAGTACTGTATTTCAACACCTAAAGCAGCTCAAATATGTGAATCATTATGGCATTGGGTACCTCAACTTAACTGAAAAGAACTTACTGGATTGCATCTCCATTTGTGATTCTCTTCAAAAATGAAATGAAAATTTCCCTTTACTGAAATAATTAGTGACAGATATTGAAAAGGAAATTGTTTATATCATCATCAACTGAAAACAATTGTGGGGCAAGAAAAACAAACCACCATTAAAAACTCCAAAGGTGGACATGCTCACTGTCTGGTGAAATTGGAAAGGAATTCTGTACTATGAGCTGCTTCCACAGAAGCAAACAATCAATTGTGATAAGTACTGTTCCCAACTGAACCAACTAAGATGGCAATTGAAGGGAAATGTCCGGAATTGGCCAACAGAAAAGGCATTGTAATTCATCGAGATAATGCCAGAATGCACACATATCTTTATAAACATATCAAAAATTATTGAAACTAGGCTGGGATGTTTTATCCAATCCCCCATACTCATCTGACCTTACCTCATCAGACTACCATTTGTTCCAGGCTCTGCAGAATTCCCTTTGTGATAAAAGCTTTGGTAATTTGGAAGCTTGTAAAAACCATGTGGAAGTTTTTCATGGGAAAACTAGGAAGTTCTCCGAAGAGGTTATTGTGAAGTGTCAATGGCAACTTGTCATTAAAAACAATGTTGCATACATAACTGAATAAAGGTGTTTTTAAGTTTTAAAACTGTTTATTTCTCTTAAGAGTCCCTATGAACTTTCCGAACAACCCATACTTACCAAAAAATACTCAACAACAGGGATTTTTATCAATACCTTATGACATTGGAAATAAGACATTATATTAAAAATACAGAACAATTTTTAATCAAATCAATGATTCTCCATGATTTTAATATAATTTACAAATGTGTGTAATATGTATATTTCTTTAAAAAACAAAATTTACATAAATTATTTACATTAAGTTTTTTTTTTATTAAATTTAAAAATATATATTTTACACAACTATGCTCTGAGTAACAATAAATATACTTATATACAAATCTCAAAACAAATCTATTAATTTCTGCAACTATTAAGGCTTTATATATATAAGTGATAAATTCTCATTAGATACTTATATTTAATTCAAATTTAATCAGTTTTTGTTTATATAAAAATAGGTTCAAAACTTCAAAAAATTTATATTACATGTTTAAAAGAATGCCACCAGTCTGTTGTTGAAATACATCAATGGTGTCTTCATCCTCCATTTCTAACCCAGAAGGGGTATCTAATTCACTGATAGGTTGCCCATCAAAACGGAACCTCACGTTTTGTATGTTAAGACCCTATAATTAATATTCATACATGATTAGATAACTAACATCATTAATACAAAAGTGACAATTTAATAAAAACACGAGTTTCCGTATTGAATATATGAAATAATTCATATCATAATTATGAATACAGTGGATTAAATGAAAACTAAACTGGTATCATAAAAGCAGGAAGACAGCTATCATGGCATTCCCCATGTTTCTTTATGCAGTGCATGAGAAGCACTTTACAGCAAACACACTGAAACTGGTTTCTAATTGGCCAACACTGCTCATGATGTCATTTCACTACACTCTCGCTGCATAAAGAAACGCGGCCATTCTACCTGTGTGTCAAAGTTGTCTAGCAATGAATGCAGCTGAAGCATAGCATTATCTGATGATGCTGAAAATTTGTAATTTTGAAAAATGGCAGCATCAATAGAAACATACATCAAAGAAATACACGCCATCAATTTTGTTGCAGAAGATAAGAAACTAGCAGAATCTTTCAAAAACTGATAATAGTATATGGATCTTCATGTTCCAACAGAAGCCAAGTGTTTGTTTCAGCCTGTAATTTGCCAATGCAGTGCAAAATGTTGAAGATCACAGCCTCCACAAGTACTGTACATCATGTGTTAATAAGTCATTGTAAACATCAACAAACTCATTCAAGAAAATCATATCATCATCAAAGATATTAAATCCAAGATGATGATTACTTATGTGTCAGGACAGAAAATTGTCAATGAAGAGCTGCAACTATTGATACTGAAAGATATGTACTGTACTGTACTGTACATGTTGAGACCCTAAGGGTTTAAACACAGACTTCAAGAAGCACCAACCTAATGCCTGTTCAGTACTTTTGACACATTAAAAAGCAGAGGAAGATGACTTTTTTCAATGCATAATCAGAGGAGCAAGTCATACATCATTTTACATGCCAGAAAGCAAATATTCCAGTTCTGAATGATGACATCTAGTTAATAAAATTGCTAAACACTTAACAACTATGCCAAATGATTATTAATTAATAATTAAATATGTATCACTATCAAAGAAATAGAATCCAAGATGATGATTACTTATGAGTCAAACAAACAACATCTCAGATCCAATTTCTTGAATCCAATATGTTAAGTGTTCATTTGTTCATGTTCATCTAGGCTCCCCTTAATCAAAGAAAGTCCAACCAGAAATGTCTGCCAGCAAAATGTTACTCATATTTTTCTGGAATTATATGGGAGTGCTTGTAAAGCACTACCTACAGCAGAAAACACAATGAACAGAACAAATATTGTGATGTTTTGACAGCATTTAGGTGCTGACAAAACATCACAATATTTGTTACTGTTCATTGTGTTTACTGCAAGCCTGCTGAGTTTATATAAATCAACAGAATATGAATAATGTAAAAATAACCTGTTGATGCTTTCAACTCCATCAATTCCTGAAAGATAACAAATCAAGGGTTGACAAAATTCTCAACTCAAAGAGCAGAGAATTTTGTCAAACTTTGGCAAATGTATGGGGCTGCCCATTCATTACAAGGTAAATCAGCTAAGTTTTAAAATGTTGCAACAGTAGAACAGCAACAGGAACAGTTCAGTCTCTAGGAAATTTGAATCATATTTAGAGCTTCCCTATGTAAAACTTCAATGCATTTCTTCTAGGTGTCACCTCACATATTTGTAGCTGTCATCTTCTTTCTAGGTGTCACCTCGCATAACAGCTAACCGTATATTTGGGAATATTATACAGTTAACTGTTGACACTGTTGCTGACATTAAAATAAGCAGTTTTCTATGCATCTTTCATTAAAATGACTTAATACTGATTCAACATTTCATAACCATTAACATTCAATTTATCAGAAAATATGAATTTTATAATAGGCATTCAATACTTTAGAGCACAAGTGTGTATTGAATATTAATTCCATCTATTTTTCATTTGTAAATTTCTTTTTATTGCTGCAGTCCGATTTAAATTTAATCCACTGTAGTAGCATAATCACTAATATTTTATATAAATTACAACAACTGTATTTATTCAAATAATTCACACAGTCCATTTTTAAGATAATGTTTAAGATAAGTTTTAAAAAAATAAAAGAAAAAATTGAACCAATTTAATTTATTACATATTTAACAAATTTTATTAAATTTGAGCTAATTTCTAGTCTCACAACTTTTACAAATGGAGTAAATTTTTAAAAATGTGAAAAAAATTGTACACAAATAAAACTATATTGTCCATTAACAGAAGAATAATAAATAAAAAATAATAATAATAATATTATTTTAGCTTCAGAAAAAGTTTATTCATGTACAACAGATCACAAAGATAGATTGGAAGAACAGCAAAAGTTAAAGAAAATGCTTGTTAAATAAATACCCGAGTCAAGTACTGGAGAAGTAAATAAGTAAATATACACCCAATAAATATAAAGTTATATTTCTTTCCCTTATGTTAAAAATAATTTTGAAAAATTTTTTTAAATATGTAGAAAACATTCCATTGAGTGGGAGCTAATTTAAAAAAAATTCAAACAACATTTGTTTATAAAACAATATAAAAGTAGACTAAATAAAGAAGTCTAGAGTGGTATAAAAATGTCATGTACTGGTACATGTGAGAATAAGGTTTATTACTACAAAGAAATTACTTGATTTAAATTTTTATTGCATCTAGGTGTTTAAATTTAGCCATTATGAATGTGATAAAAATTTAAGATTTATTATTTTGGACAGACTGGAAGAGTGCGATAAAGTTAAAAAAATACAAATGGCAATTTGTTTAAAACATACACAATTACCTTGGTTTCTTCATTATAATATAAAATAATGCACAACTAACAAAAGTGAACTAAAGATTTTGTTTATGGAACATAATTTATATTTACGTAGGTTTAAAGAACATATCAATTAGGAATAATGTTAATTTGATTAATTTAAATAATGTAATGTCAGTTGATGACATTTGGAATGATATAGTCAGTGCTACTATGTAGTGGGAGATTGACTGTAAAAAAGGAAGTGGAATTCTTGTGGATTACAAGTTTGTACTGACAAGGAAGTGACAGGTTACTGATCTAAAGTGCATATAATAAATATAATTCCTTAACACATCATCTTAATAATTCCTGGCCTCTGTAAACTGTTAGAGTTAAAAGGATATTGTAGGCACATTAAATTATCAAAAAACCCTTTTCAGTGGTTGTATAAATAACTAAAATATCTGACATATATTGCTATTTTTTATCTTTTGAACAAAGATTGTATTGACCAACTAAGGGCTTAAACTTTCCCATCTTTACACATCTTGTACAACAATGCTTTGTTTTCTACACAACACAATTTTCAACCAATTCACAGAAAGTGAGAGGAGTATTCTAGAAGTAGTGATTCCACTTTGGTTCTTTTTTAGCAGGCTTCATCAGTGGTCATAGTACCACAAATTTCTCCCGTCTATTCCTTGAATTGCCATTCTGTACATGCACAAGCACATGTATCTCTGCATGCTGAAGTCCAGACAAGTACAAACATATTCTGCTTTCAGTGTAACAAGAAGATATTCTCCCCCTGTAAAGTAAAACTTTGTGGGGAAGTCCTCTGCAAATGTCCAGTAGACTATGTAGGGTACATCCTACATGGCAACATCCAGCAACCGTGGGTGTGAATGTGCTTCCAAGCAAAACAGACAAATTGGTTCAAGCAAATGTGCATTTCCAGAGTAACTGCATTTAGTATGCAGTGACCACTAGATAATGCTTCTACAAGCATGTGCAGGAAGCAACTACCAAGCAAGTTTGATTGCTACTTTCATTGTTCACACTTCCAAAGACAAAAATTGCTGATTTTGTAGATGAATGAAAACAGAATAACAAATAAATTGTGTATGTATGTTGTATATACTTAATAATTTTTACATAATTTAACAATTTCTGATTTTGTAAATGCAACATTTTAAAAATAAAACTTTTTTAAACTTATTCTATGAAGATTTTTTTGTATTTGTTGTGTATCTAGATAGTGATAACATTTACCTTTCAGATTTACTGTTTTAATGCTTGTCATATTTTTCCATAAGCATTCAATGAAGTTGTCTCACTGCCATTTTGTAAACAACACACGTCCACTCTGGACAGAGATCACTCATGAGTTGTAAGCACATACAAAGATTCTTTCAGCTCGTGGTTGCTGCCATATAGGACATACCCTTATCCTTTCATTCTTTTGCCTTTTAGTAGACATTCTGGGGCTCATTGATCTTAGCCATCTAATATTTAGCCATAATAGCATTTTATTTAATGACTCACCTGAGTCAGGTAGGTGATTAACCTTCCCACAGGAAGACACTCAATGTTTATTCAAACTCATAGGATGTTGATATTTTTGATTGTAAACAGAATAACAAATAAATTGTGTATATATTTGTATATAGAATGGTGCCTCGTATAACGTACGCCTCGAATAACGCACGCTGCGAACAACAGATTTTCTGTTTGGCCATTACATGACTCGAGCAACGAACTGGCTGTGAACAACGAACTTTCTGCGAACAAGTGCAAATGATGTTTCCACTCGTTTGCTGTTGCCAATGACAATCTGCTATTTTTATAATATATTAGTATTATTAGAATATATTGTTAGTATATTTGAAGTACAGAGCTGCCATTGGGATCAATGTACTTCAGATATACTAACAATATATTCCCTCTAATTTTTTTTGTAGATGAGCAGAACATATACTTCTCTGAGCAAAAAAAAATTTTGCTGAGCAGATTCTGAGCAAAAAGTTTTTCTGAGCATATATATATAAAATCTTATTTTTTCCTATAAAAATTAAAATAATTAATTATAACGTAGAGATTAAAATTTATTTTAAAACATACTTTTATACGATATATTATCTTTTGTCAATGATTTAATGTATTTAATCGAAATATACGCAGCAATAATCATGTTGCAGACAGAGTGAGAAATAAGTACACAATTCAAATCGGTGTGCATGCTCGCCTGTGCGGCACATAAATTCTCGTGCGCGGCAACAATTTGAGCAGTGCGCGGCCGCGCAGCTTAGAGGGAACATTGGTTGGGATTCGGCTTGCTCTCTTGTTTATTATGTACAGTACCTCAGTGCAGAGGGGTATTTACATTTATTCAAATGTTGTGCAAATCATGGCTTCTAAAAAAACAGAAAGGTAATTTCAAATGAAACAAAGCAAGAAATCATCAGAAGGAGTGAAAGTTGACAAAAACTTCCTTGTCAAATGGGGAGAGGTTCAGGAGTTTACCAACACTCATTATCCAGAGGTGAGGCCAACAGGATCAATAATCCCTACAATGGCACCCTTGCCCGTCATTTCCGACAGGTGTTGAAAAAGAGAGAGAAACAGATCACCTTCAACATGTTTTTCAAGAAGCCAGCTGCCAAAAAACAAAGGATGGAACAAGAGGAGTTGACCCTGCAACCTCCGGTAGCCTCTCCTAACTCTGACTCCGATTAAAAAACAATAAAAAGAGACCTGCTGCAATGTGTAAAAAGTCTGTATCTGTATGAATGTGTGAAGAAAGTGCTCCTTCACCTCCTCCTCACAACATCTGACAACCTGGCATAATTGGTGACTGCTCCATTTTCATTTTTTTATGGTAGAGTACAGTTATTTTATGCTGAGGAACGAATTATATGTTTTAACACGTATTTCTATGGGAAAATGCATTTTGTATAACGGACTTTTCACTTAATGGGCGTGCAGCTGGAACGGATTACGTACGTTATATGAGGCACCACTGTACTTAAATTAATAATTTTTACATAATTTGCCCCTTTTTTGGCAGGTTTACCATTATCTAATAGTAGAAATCAAATCAAGGATCACACAATTATTCCCTTAGCTATTTTATGGAACTAAACAACTAGAATTTCAGTTGAAAAAATCATATATATTTTAAAAACTTTATAAAATTTAAGCTTTAATGAAAATAGATTTAAAGATTTAAAGTTAATAATATTTATTCTTTTAATAACATATAGTCAAAACATGCATTTGGTTATAAGTTGCTACATGTAATGATTTACACAAAAGATCTTCAATAGCAAATTTTTCTAAAAAAACTATTATATAAAATATTCAAAATTATGGAAACAGATGTATTTTTATTATAAAACATACAAAAAATATTTATTGTTTTAATTATGTTACAGTTCACATACTCAAATTTTATATCTGTGAATGTGAACTTTAACAGTAGATTAACAAAAATAAAAAAAGTATCTGTTTTTGTTTCATTAAAGATACTTTAAGTATACTTGTAGTATACTTAAAGTATCTTTATTAAAATATTCAGTATTCATCCATATTTTTCCACCAACAATGTACATTTCATCTACTATTAGTGACTATATCATATTTATGTTAAAAATCAATATTTCAAATACATTATAATGCATTACTTACTGCTCTATCACAATATGTAGTCATTAATTTCCTAAAAGGTGTATGCTTTTTGATTTTAAAATGGACGACACTACCATCCTGACCAACAACTTTTAAATTAATCTGTTCACTTTCTGCCTTAACATCCTAGAAAAGAAGTAATTAAAATTATATATTACNACTTTTCACTTAATGGGCGTGCAGCTGGAACGGATTACGTACGTTATATGAGGCACCACTGTACTTAAATTAATAATTTTTACATAATTTGCCCCTTTTTTGGCAGGTTTACCATTATCTAATAGTAGAAATCAAATCAAGGATCACACAATTATTCCCTTAGCTATTTTATGGAACTAAACAACTAGAATTTCAGTTGAAAAAATCATATATATTTTAAAAACTTTATAAAATTTAAGCTTTAATGAAAATAGATTTAAAGATTTAAAGTTAATAATATTTATTCTTTTAATAACATATAGTCAAAACATGCATTTGGTTATAAGTTGCTACATGTAATGATTTACACAAAAGATCTTCAATAGCAAATTTTTCTAAAAAAACTATTATATAAAATATTCAAAATTATGGAAACAGATGTATTTTTATTATAAAACATACAAAAAATATTTATTGTTTTAATTATGTTACAGTTCACATACTCAAATTTTATATCTGTGAATGTGAACTTTAACAGTAGATTAACAAAAATAAAAAAAGTATCTGTTTTTGTTTCATTAAAGATACTTTAAGTATACTTGTAGTATACTTAAAGTATCTTTATTAAAATATTCAGTATTCATCCATATTTTTCCACCAACAATGTACATTTCATCTACTATTAGTGACTATATCATATTTATGTTAAAAATCAATATTTCAAATACATTATAATGCATTACTTACTGCTCTATCACAATATGTAGTCATTAATTTCCTAAAAGGTGTATGCTTTTTGATTTTAAAATGGACGACACTACCATCCTGACCAACAACTTTTAAATTAATCTGTTCACTTTCTGCCTTAACATCCTAGAAAAGAAGTAATTAAAATTATATATTACAAAATTTTTTTAAAGATTGATACTGAAATATATATGAATATTTTTACAACTTTTACTTTCTATAAAATTNGTTTGATTTGGGTAAGTAACCAAAGGGCACTTTATCAAACATTTCATTGGAAATAGATGCATCAACAATGTCTGACAACATAAAACTTTGAAAAGAATACAATCACATGATGTTGCTCTATCGCTTCAAAAGTGGCCATAATGCAATGAAGATTAATGATTTTGTCTGGAAAGCAAAGATCAACCAGGTGTTACAAATGTCAAAGTGGCATGCAGTCCATGGAAGCTCTGGAAGTGCTGCTTCCCTTTTATTTTCTAAAATATAAGTACATATTGTGTGATTATTTTCATAAACTAGTTGTTATATCTTTGTTTCATGTCAATGTATCTATTTTAGAATTAAAATAAATAAACTGTTTATTTTTGTCATTTCCAGTATTTGTTTATAATTTTTATGGAAATGCAGCTTTTTGATCATCAAATGCCACCACACACCATGGTATAGAGAAAGGTGGTGATCTGAATTGTCACAACGGAGATGCTTCCAACCAATATCACTGTCATGAAAGAACTTTGCTATGAACAACTGGATTGTTTGGATGCCAAGATCAAAAAAAATTGACAAAGTCAGATACTGCCACAACTGCCAATACAGAACAAAGGTGATCTTAAAGAAGCTGGCCAGTCTGGACTAAGAGGTTTTGCATCGTCCATTTTAGAGCCCAGACTTGGTACCAACTGACTACCATTTATTTTGCACCCAACAGAATTGTGTTGTCAATGTAGCGTTCAATGACATACCCAATACGAGGCAGTCTTCAATGAAAAACCCCAGTCATTCTATGCTCATAGGATTGAAAGTTTGAAGCAAAGATGCAAAATGTGATGATGTTGATGGTTATTACTTACCAGATTGAACTATAATCATTGAGCAATTGTCAAAAATCTTTTTTGATATTTCTAAAACTGAAAGTCTTTTATCAGGTTGTAAAGGTGAAATTTTGAATTTCACCTTTACAACCTGATAAAAGACTTTCAGTTTTAGAAATATCAAAAAAGATTTTTGACAATTGCTCAATGATTATAGTTCAATCTGGTAAGTAATAACCATCAACATCATCACATTTTGCATCTTTGTTTCAAACTTTCAATCCTATGAGCATAGAATGACTGGGGTTTTTCATTGAAGACTGCCTCGTATTGGGTATGTCATTGAACGCTACATTGACAACACAATTCTGTTGGGTGCAAAATAAATGGTAGTCAGTTGGTACCAAGTCTGGGCTCTAAAATGGACGATGCAAAACCTCTTAGTCCAGACTGGCCAGCTTCTTTAAGATCACCTTTGTTCTGTATTGGCAGTTGTGGCAGTATCTGACTTTGTCAATTTTTTTTGATCTTGGCGTCCAAACAATCCAGTTGTTCATAGCAAAGTTCTTTCATGACAGTGATATTGGTTGGAAGCATCTCCGTTGTGACAATTCAGATCACCACCTTTCTCTATACCATGGTGTGTGGTGGCATTTGATGATCAAAAAGCTGCATTTCCATAAAAATTATAAACAAATACTGGAAATGACAAAAATAAACAGTTTATTTATTTTAATTCTAAAATAGATACATTGACATGAAACAAAGATATAACAACTAGTTTATGAAAATAATCACACAATATGTACTTATATTTTAGAAAATAAAAGGGAAGCAGCACTTCCAGAGCTTCCATGGACTGCATGCCACTTTGACATTTGTAACACCTGGTTGATCTTTGCTTTCCAGACAAAATCATTAATCTTCATTGCATTATGGCCACTTTTGAAGCGATAGAGCAACATCATGTGATTGTATTCTTTTCAAAGTTTTATGTTGTCAGACATTGTTGATGCATCTATTTCCAATGAAATGTTTGATAAAGTGCCCTTTGGTTACATACCCAAATCAAACATTCTACATTTTTCCAGTCATTTCTAGAAAACTAGCAGCCAGGGACGCCCCTAGTGGCCATTCTTTACAAATTTCCACGAGGCACGGTTCCTTTGACTTTTTTGTTCCTATCAATATGCTCTACAGCTCTGTAAAAGTCCGAATGGTAAGATTTACCCTCCGAATGAAGAGGTGGCGATCCCCCCAAACTGTAGCCCCCTGTGCGAACAATAAAGTCAAAGGAACCATACCCCTACTCCCGATCCTTCGCGAGATATAAGCCCCTGAAATAATAAATTCCTATTACAAATATACTGAATTATTTATATTGTTATATTGACCAAATAATAATTTATTGGCCAAATGAATAATAATAATTTATATTGTTAATTTAAATAATAATTAAAATTGTTAATTTAATTTGGTGTTTGAAATATGACACACGATAGGGGCGCCTCTAGTGTCCGTTATGAAACGGTTACGGGACGGACACGAAATGAATGGGTTATATATATAGATAATCAACATGTCTAAATTTCACATTTACAACTTGATACATTTTATTTTTGAAAAAGATTTATAAAATCAAACTTACACAAAGAGCAAAAAGTAATTGCAAAAGTAGAAAGTTACATTTAGTCGAAAAATATTTTGGATATATTTCATTCTGACTGCAAGTGGTGGTAAGCATGGTTGCAAGTTGTAGTTTTATGAATAGATGGCAATTTTAATAAACTATTTTCAATAGATTCCTAGTTTCAACAACCGAATGGCCAAGCAGTCAAGGTGGCAGCCTACCACTCTGGGGGACCTAGGATTAAATCTGGATGGGTCAAAAATCCACAGGAATTTTTCAGAGGTAGTCCATCCATATGTTGGGCCCCATCCCACCACCCAGCCACCCCATTGTGGGCTTGCTAAAAAAGGCCCTGTTAAGAGCCTTTTAGCAAGGGTGGAAAGAGCTAAAAAAAGTGGGGCATGGCTGTGTCAGGGACACAGCTGTGTGTATTATGTGAATATGTGTACGTTAACAGATAATATTTTTAATAATTATTAATTAATTAAGTTCCCAGCACCACGTCACTCTATCATATGGTGTTTTATGGGCATCACTGGATTGCTCTTGAGAAGCCCTTTCCAACCATATACGATTTCTATATTTTGATTTGGCTTTTTGACGAGTATAGGCCGACATTGCATTAAGTTTTTTTAATTTTTAACTTTAACACCATAACTATTCCACACTAATGTTTTGTGTATGCAATCGATAAATATTGACAAGAGCTGTATATTGAAACTCAAACAAGTGTTGTAGCTTGTCCGGTCAAAATGTATACCAAACAGAAAGCAATGCGGCGAAACAACCTCAAAATGGTGGCACTTCCCCCTACACCATGCATCATAGTCCCCACTCAACGTAACAAATTCTTTGATCCTTTAACTATCAAGTGGTGTAATTAAATTTTGGATTTAGATGATAGATATGTAACTGCAATGCCAAATTATATACCCTGATTTTGTTATCAGTTTTCTGAATTGCCTCCCACTATGGAAGCAAATTTAAAGACATATTAACGTCAAAAAACCCCAGTTCCATTCTGGATACCCCCATTCTAAACCGTATACAAAAGACTAATACAGTACTATTCATTGATGGATCTATCATCTTATACTGGCATGTCCAAGTTATAAAAAATGATTAATGTGTGAATTACACATATATACAACATGGTAAATCATTGAATTAAGTAATAAATGACATCAGAAGAAATAATTTTCAACTTGAAAATATTTTGCAAATGTCAACCAATTTGAATTAAAGGAGGACCTATCAACTTACATTTTATTAATAATTTTAAGTTCAATATTTACAAATCTTTTAGCTAAATACTTAGAAATTGTCATAAAATTAATTTCTGATTATTTTTTTTCTCAAATTAAATCAAAGAGGTCGCTGCTTAAGTACAGAATGTGATGCTATTTATTAATTAAAGGGCTAACAAAATTTGATCACTTAGTTTGAATATGGAAAAAGTGGACTTTTATTAACCTAAATAAAATAATGGTTAATTATTTACATGAGTCTGATCTAAATTAACAAATAGTACTAAGAATTGTGTTATGCAAAGAAAAGTATTCAACACATTTAAAAGTTTACATGTCATCAGGACAACTCAAAATTATATTACATAAAACTTTATCATAAATATTTTAAAAGTTAATTATACCTTTGAGTCACTAGCCATTATTATTTTCGTAATTTAAAAATTAAACACCATTCGCACACCGAAGAAATTCAAATCGAAAATATGCCAAAATGCGTTATCTTAGTTACAGGTTCCTCAATAGTTAATGTAATACAACGCCAAAAATCCGCCCAATAAATTTAATTATTTATAATTATAAAATTCAACATATCATAATAAATTTTATATTTAAAAATAAATTATTACATTAATCTTATTCCAATGCATATTCTCTTAATTAGGATATGAAAAAATATAAAAATATATTAAATTAAAAAACGAAATATAATTTAGAGCAGCGGTTCACAAATATGCGAAATATGCAACACCGACGGCGACCGAGGAATTTCTCCGAAAAGCGAAATAATATTGGATGAAATAAATCGAAATCTTAAGAATTTCATTTATTTCATCCGATGGCCGAAAATTGAATAGGTCGATAAATTTCCTTTACGTCTAACGAATTTCGGGCAATTTTCGGAGATGGTCAAGCCTCAAGAATTTAAAAAGATCGTCTTTTACCTCTCCACGGTGGACATTCTGCACCATGTAAATGCAGAAGATAATTTATTTATCAAATTTCGAACACAAGAAAATGATTGAAGAAAAAGTTTAAAAAGAAAAAAATTATAAATTAATTTTTAAAAAATAAAATTGAACTTTTTTTCCGTTCTGTGTAATTGAACAAAATGAAACAACCCGAACACTCGCTTCCCAAAAATCCAACCCCTGGGTTCCCGTCCTGGTAAGTGGAAACGCCAATTTTAAAGATGAAAAGCTTTAAATTGGTGGCCAAAGGGGCTCTGGTAATTATGATTTGCATCGCAGTGGCGTAGCGTGGGTGTCAGCCGCCCGGGGCGGAGGAAAATTTCGCCCCCCTTATTTAGGTATCTCAATTTAAAAGACTAAAATTCAGTTTCTTCACAGAATAAGCAATGAAAAATTCCGTGCTAGTGTTCCCACCTTATTAAAATCGCTGACCCGGACGGCAGGTGAGGTTTGTTCGAATAGAAGTTCCTGACGCATGCGTGTGTCATTTTGCAATGCGAAGAATAATGTGCAGTGCATGCTGGTTCTGAATCAGTTACAGTTAGCGACTAGGGAGACTTGGATAGGAGTAACGCAAGTGACTTAGCTGTATTGGAGGTAATTGGATATTGGAGGTGTGTATATATATATATATATATACGAATAAATCGTACAAGCAAAAAAGAAAAAATAAAAAAAATAAAAGAAAAAGGTCAACAGGTCGCGCACGATATCCCCGGACGGCGAGTCGATTCCCGGACTATCCGGATGGATGGTAACACTATTTCGTGCTCATTTCAATCGGTTCGAATGGTAGGTGGACAAAAATATGATATAAAATGGTTCAAATTCTTACAAGATATTATTATTATTTATTGTGAAATTTTGCTGCCCCCCTAAAAAGTGCCGCCCGGGGCGGGCCGCCCCTGCCGCCCCCACTACGTTACGCTACTGATTCGCATCAATAATCGTTTTGTGATGAATTTTTCGGCGCTTAACAATAAGAGTTATCAGTACTGAATTATGAACAAGATTTCTTCTTGCTCATATTTCAGTGTTGTTAAAACCATCCTAGATGACGGGGCGGATGGCTAAGTGGTCAAGGTGAGTCGCTACGGCGATGAATCCAGATTCAGTTTGGGCACTGACAACAGCCGTGTTTGTGTTTGGAGGTCCCGTGGTAAACACCTCAATCCTGCACACGCTTTGGAGTGATACACAGTCCCCACAGCTGGTATGATAGTCTGGGGGCCCATCACATACGACAGCCGGTCACCTCTAGTAGTGATACAAGAGACCTTGAAGACCAACGATGTGTTAGTGACATCCTGCAGCCACATATGTTGCATCTCATGGCAGGACCCCCAAGAGCCATTTTCCAACAAACGGCAAGGGTGCCTCCGCCACATTGTCACAGTTTCCTAGTCTGCCCGGTCTCCTGATTGAACATGTCTGAGACGCCAAGTTCGACAGCCTAGGAGTTTGGCCGAACTAGAGGACCGCTTGCAGCAACGGTGGACTGAGATGCTGCAGGATACCATATGTCTCCATGCCATCCGGTATCGCATTGTGTATTCAAACTAGGGGTGGCTCATTAGGATACTAGAACCTCCTTTCATTTGTGGTTTTTTATGCAATAAATGATCCTTTTTCTTTCATTTTGTAATCACTTACATCACCGTTACACTGAAACATGCATACTTTCGACCGATTACAACTTTTTGGTGCCCTAATTTTTATGGCAATGAGTGTATATCCATGTCGAGTGAATTCAACACCAGTTTGCGGGTCATAACTGTTGTCAGTTACCATAATAAATACCTTTAAATTCTGATAGCAAAAATTTTACGTAGATAAAAATACGAGAAAATTTCAAACCATCTAACATACACGTGTTTATTTATTCATTAATTTTTTCGTATATTTTATTTACTTGAACTCTTATTAGTATACAATATTCCAGCGGCCGGATGGCCGAGCGGTCAAGGTGGCAGCCTACCGCTTCGACTGAAATAATTAAATCCTAAATATGCGGCCGGATGGCCGAGCGGTCAAGGTGGCAGCCTACCGCTCTGGGGGACCCGGGTTCGAATCCAAACGGGTCGAAAAGTCCCCAGGAATTCTTCGGGGTGGTCCCTCACCACCCGGCAGCCCCATTGTGGGCCTGGCCGAACCCATAATCGGCTTGCAAAATGAATCCCTCTTAGTGCCCACAGGGCGGAAAGAGTTAAAAAAAAGTATACAATATATCCATCCGAATATAAAAAAATTTACATTTTGAAAAACTTTAGCATAATAAAAACATTAAAGGTAACTCTAATGTACAGCAATCAATAATGAATTTTTCAAATTATTATTATTTTTACTACAATTTATATACGTTAAATGTTTCAATATATTCGTGAATTCTCGTGTTAAAGATAAAAATGAAGTAAAACAAATCAGAATAACGTAGCGGTCCTCGAAAGCATCAGTTATCACTATCTAAACACAGTAAAGGTTAAAGGTCACGACTATTCGAAAGTGATATTTAATATATTCATAAATAACATTACAAATTATTTTTAATAAATGAAAAATGATATATAAATACACGTATACATATATACAATTTAAAAATATCAATAAATGAACATCGACATAATAACTAATTCAGTTACGTAATAAAATTATTTATAAAAATTTAAATTTAAACTACATCTCATTACATCGATAAAAACACATTAATACTCTAATATTAAAAACTTTAAAAAATTTTTAAAAATTTAAACAAAATTTATTTTATTTTATTTTATTTTATTTTTATCAATAACAAATTTAATTGTATATTTATTCTTCCTTTCCGTATTAGGAATATATAACGAATGCGCATGCGCTATGATTAGAGCGTGCTTTGTTGTCATCTCCAATTCGAAAAAAGGTAAAAAAAAAAAAAAAGCAAAAAAGTAAATAATTTTACTCATTAATCGTAAATATAACTTTCGATAAGTCGACGTAATAGAAGTCGAGCAACGTTAATTATTAACGATCATTTCAGCTTTCGGTACGGTCAATGTGTTTATGTGTTGCTGGAGTAAAATATTTGGAGGGAATGTTAGAAATATTCGATTATTTTATAACTATCCTACGAATATTTTCCTCTTTTATAATTGTTAATTAATATCCAACAGCCTCAGCTGTAATCATAAATTGAAATTGACATTGTTTACAAATATATATGACTATTTCAAATGCTTGAACATTCATAAACTACAATCATGTGATAGATATTTATAGGTAAGTTTTATGAAATGCCATTAAATAATAACAATATGAATAAGTCAGGTGTTGTGTTATGTGAATTTTAATGATAAATCTGATTAGAAGTGTTATAAATGTAACAATTGCATATTTATCACACATGAGTGTTTTTACATATAGATACAATGCAGAATTTAACTTTAGATTCAATATGTGTGAGTTAGAAATGCGGATAGAATCGGCATCGGTGCGCCTCGGTATATAAATATGCTCTTTGCCGTGCCGAATATGGAATAAGAATGAAACGAACTGTCTATCGGTGTTAAATTTTTAATTAAATGAATTGAAAATTAACAACTTAAACAGTTTGCTTTATTCTTATTGGTACACCTCGACGTTTAGAGGCTCGATTCAGATATATAAAAATATAAATTTGTATTGAAATATGGATGCTATTCTTTTTTAGTCTATTATTATTATTATTATTATTCAGTTTTTCTCAATATTGCTCTAAAATGTAATAATTTGAAATTTTGTTGTTAAACTAAAAAATTATGAGTAGCACATCATATGAGCTAGTTTTAATAGTAAATTTTAGTAGTACTAGTAGTTAATCTTGTTTTGTTTGTTTTTTGTTAAAGTAGTTGTAGTAGTAGTAGTAGTAGTAGTACATATACTAAATTAAAAAGAGTATCCAACAAGATTGTAAATTCTAAAAATACTTATTTCTAGATTAAAACAAGTAAATATACTCTGTACATCTGACTTCGAGAGACTTAATCAGGCAGACAAACGAAATAACGAAGAAATACTAAACCTTTATTTTTAATTCCATTCTCGACAATTCCAAAACATCCAAATGCATTTCGCCTTTGCAATCAGGCCTCATCAGTGGATACATTTAACTGCCGGTTGCTGTTCTTTTTATGCTGGGTGATCTCTTTCCAACATGCATCACATTTATTCCAGTATTCAGATTTATTACATTTGCATATGATATAATACAAAAATGTTCAATAATTCTACTTTTAATACAATTTCTAACTTTATATAATATTTTAACATTATTTCTGTCTATTTTACAATTAAATCTACTACAATGTAAATACCATAGTGATTCTTGTTTTTTAATCTAATAGCTGCTTCATATTCTTTTAAGCATATTTCCAATTTTCTTCCTGTTTCTCCAATATAATATTTTGGTCTAGAACAGGGGTGTCCAGCCCGCGGGCCACATGCGGCCCAATAAACGTGTAAACAAAACTGACAAATGTTTTAATTTTTTTATTATTTATTTATTTCAATGGCATAAACTCAAAAAAGAAGTTTCACAAAGCCGTAAATATTTGTTTATATTTTATTTTTCAGTGGAAAGGAAATATTGATATTTTCAAATACTTGGAGATGTGTGAATGAGGAAGGATTACTAAATAAAGCTGGAGTTGTGACTCAAAGGATTATAGACCCAAATTTGGAAAAAGGAGGAAAAGGACGAAAGATAAAAAGTAGTCAGAAAGGTTAAATAGATTTATTTTGCAAATATTGACCCTTGATTTTCCAACCTTTCTCACTTCTTTACCTTCTGTCCTTTCTCTCTTTTCCCGCATTTGGGTCTATAATATTTTGAGTTATAACTCCAACTTTATTTAGTATTTCTTCCAGCGTTGCAAGATTTGGCTACATTGCGCCAAATGTGCCTACTATTTTTTAATTTGACGTAAAAAACATCATTTGTTGCTTTGGCTACTTTTTGGACTACATATTATTTATAAATATATTAGTTGAATAAAAATGCACTTTAAAATGGTGTTTCGTC